TTGTTAATCAAATGTGAGCTGTGCTATTATTTTGCAACTTCTCCTTCATTCCAGACCTTGACAATAGCCACCGCGGCCGATATAAAAACTTAAGAGACCAGGAAGGAAACTTACAGACCAGGTGAGACACGTTAAAGGAAAGGAGGTTTTTTGATAACAATGTTATAATGAATTATAATTAATTTATTTTTAATTTATTTCTAATATTTTCTTTTTAAGTACGTAATTTAGCCGATCTCAAGTTATATATTTTTTTATTAATATTGTAATTTTCTTAATCCCATATTTTATTAAAATTAATTTCTTGCTGACGGAAAAATGCATTCCTAATACCAAAAGAAAGTGAAATATAATAATTGATCTATAATTTGTAAAAACCCCCAGGTAACAAGCTACGTCATTTTGTTGTCATTTTATCGTCATTTTGATGTCAAATGACGTCATTTTGACATTAGCTTGCTACCAGGGAAGTTCGTATTGCAAATATAATAATAATTGTTTATAAGCGTCATTTACATATTTATACGTAATAATTTTTAGATAAAATTGTGTTTGAGTCGATCTATTTTTTGTGTAAAAGAACTATGGCGTGTATTTATTTCATAGCGCAAGATTTTTTTCAAATGTACAGGGATTAGTTTTTCATTTAAACATATTTTTTAAAAATGAATTCTTACTCTTAATTTCGCGTTTAAATAAATTGATTTAATAAAAGAATTGATTCTTTACCTAGTAATGATGTGTCATTTGCGCTTTCCAATCGCCAAGAATTGAATCTTAATAAATTATGATTTAGAGAGAGCAATAGAATTAATAAAAAATTTTTTTATGTGAGCACACACACACACACAATTAGTTTATACGCATCTTGTAATTCTAATCTAATAGTTTCAAAATAATATCTTGTTTCATTCTATTCATTTTATTTAAAGGAGAACGTTAATATATGTTATAATTAAAACGCATAATTCCGTATAAGTGTTACGGAATTAATTTTTCTTTAAGACATGTTTTTAAAATATATATTCGTAGTAAAATTCATATTATGTCTTATCAATTTAATAAAATCTTTTAACAGGAAACATATTTCAATGCCAAAGTAAATTCTAATAAATTCAAAAAAGGATAATGTTAAACGCATGTACCCGCGTATAATTAACTGTATAAAATTTACGTACATTTCTTCTTTTAAATGGACTTTCTAAGCTATCTAAAGAATCAGTTAAAAACGTTTTTAACATATTTTCTTTTCCAGTAGTTTAGAAAACTTGCCCTAGGGGTTATTTTTTAATCTCAACGAATTATTTTTTGTTCCAGACGATGCATCCTATTCTTTTGGTCGTCATTGTAGGCATTATAGCGGCTGCGTTGAAGATGGCACGCAGGCACCATCAACGCCATCAACGTCATCAGGAACGTCCTTGCCGTCGACCATAAAATGTCACCATTTTTGTCTTATGACGAGCCCTTCTGTCTTTATTATCACTGCCATTTTGCAACTGCCATTTTACCGCCGTCGCTGCGGCCGCCGCGGCCACCACGATCGCCGCCGCCGCAGCCGCTACGGCCTTCGACACATAGATATATTACTGCCTGTGTGTGTGTGTGTCTGGAAAAAACTACCAAAGCAAAAGTATTTTCCTTTACTCCAATCGTGGAGTTTATGCATCGTTTTTGTTGTAATTATCATGGTAGAACGATTATTTCATAATCTAATATATTCCTGTTATTCATTAACGAGATTTGTCTCTATTAATGACAAACTCGTCAATAATAATGAGTATTAAATCTTGATATATTGAAAAAGCAAGAATTGTGTTCAGGACTAAATTATCCCCAATAATATACATTAAGCGAAATAATATTTTTTGCTCCTTATTATCATTTATAGTTATTCCATTAATACTGAGATCAATTATTTGTCAACAATATGTGATAAGATTTCATTATCTAATTTTTTGTGATCTTGGTAGTTATGGAGATGCATAAAAAAAATATTATCTACATAGATTGCTATATACTGAGGAAATAGACTTAATAAAACTCAAGTAAACGGCACCTAATTTATTAACCGATTTACGCGATCCTAGCGGATTGTTGATTTCAAAATCATCAAAAAATAATGCTATTGGTAGAATAAATTCATTCTTTTTTAATTCTATAGAATTTCACATTTTGCCATTGTCACGTCTGGAATTTTTGGAAATCTTCGCTGGGATGATGGACGCGGAGCGTCGGACTTGTCGCGGTACGGAAGTTTGTCGGAGCGAGGAGAAAAGGGAGCCGGGGCCGCGCGGAAACCTGGAATCCCTTTTCGGTTGATTGCCTCTAGCGAATAGAATGAAGAATAAGAACAAATAAAAAATCGTACTCGGCGACGTTAGATGACGTTCTTTTTATTATATAAGGCGGGATAATTATAACATGCAACAAAATAATAATAACAAAAAAATATAAAATTTAACTGTGCGCGATGGAGAATAATCAGCGTCGCAGCAGGAGCGAGATCACTTTTATCGCCCTTGTCAACTGTCTCTATTCTAATGATTCGCGACAGAGCACGGGACGGGATGACGGCGGGTCCTGGTGGTTTCTTGGAACCGGATGATACCGCGAGGTATCCTGGACCCATCAGAGGTCAGCGAAGACCCGCGGGTCAAATGTCGCCGCGCGATGGTACTCGCGTACGAGGGCTCGTAGGGCCTGTTCGCGGCTAGCCCTCCTAGTAGTGCGACTGCTGTGAACATTTTCTTTCCCTTACTCGCCACGATATTTAAAGCTAATTAAACGCGCCATTAAACGAGAATGCATAAAAATAATCAATTTTGCTGCCCTACGTGTATTTCACAGACACTGAGGAAAAGGAGCAAGACTCCGATTCCCTTTTCTTTTGTGGAGATGCGGAGTAGAACGAACGACAGGGATGATGTGGCTAGAAAAGGTAGAGCGATGAGATGCTCTAACGGAGCGCTTGCTCCCTATTCGGATGGCGGCCACGTAACGTGGACGAGCCCGCGACGACCGGAGATAGGAAGATTCAGGGCGCTGGACAGCGCTTGCGTATTGGACAAATCAACTAGGATAAAGCGTGGGGAGAGAAAAAGTTTTGCGTTGCATCGTTTTTGAAATATATTTTTAATGTTTTTTTGAGCTTTTATTGACAGTAACTTAAATTTGTCAATTATTAAATGTTTTGACATCTCAATGTCTTCCGATACAATCTTCAAGATAATGTATAATATATATTTTAAAATATAAATTATTTATTCTGTCTTATATTTCAATAAAATTTGTAAAAAAATTAATATATTTATATGACAATGTATTATATATCAAGCGACAACAGGTGATAGATTGATTGATGTCAGCTGGGGACCTGTACGAAAAAGGACGAAAACTCTCTCTCTCTCTCTCTCTCTCTCTCTCTCTCTCTCTCTCTCTCTCTCT